TCCATCATTCACAGGTGTTCTCAGCAAAGTTTGCATGTTCAGGCTGTGCTAATAGATGTTGCAGTAGTGCATTTAAAACTAGGAATATGAAACTCTACTTTTCAAGTAAAATTACTACAGGGTAAATGTATCTAGAGTAGTAGTATGTTTGCTATAATACAACAGTCCTTTAGAAAGTTTGCAGTAAGAACAAATAATTCGGATTAAGAGCGCTCCATTTAATTTGTTTTGGTAAACTTGTTCAGTGTTTTCTACTTACAGATAAAGTAGTGAGGTTGCTGTCTGAAGTACCTTTTTGCTTTCAGCTTTACCTCCTGTTCTGCAACAGGGTTTGCCCCCTGAGATGTGCATTGAGCAAGGTGTTAAGAGAAAGCTACTCCATTTAAACAATTGATATTAGGAGTACAATTCTGACTGTAATGAGAATGGACAGAAGAACTGCGTTTCTAAGTGCAAATTATAGTTAATGGTTACATACAGCATTTCTCAAAGAATACCTATCAGTGTAGGAAGGGCAGCCAATTATTTTTCAACAAATATTGTGGACAGATCTTTGTAATATTGTAGTTGCTTCTCTTCTTTTTCTTCATCATAATGTTTATTCAGCTTCACCATCATTTTAATACCCAAGGATAGTTGTGACCAGGACCTCTTGTTCAAACAAAGCTGTTCCAATAAAGAACAAAAGGGCAGCTCCATCCCTTCTACATATAAATTATCTAAGAACAACTGACAGACAGCTATAGAAAAGGAGGGTACAAGGGAACTGTTACCCACAACATTAAAGCGCTTCCCTTGGGGAAGGAAGCTCACTTTTTGGGCTTCAAGAAATTTCATTCAACATTAAAGATACTTCATTTTACACTCTATTGGTTATTATACATTATGGGAATAAAATAATTTCTTTTACTATTTGTTTACCAAATGAAACAAACAAACAAAAACTGTCTTGGGTGAAATTCTGGCCTCATTGGCAAAATTCCTGCTGATTTTATTAATGCTAAAATTTTAATCCTAACTCTCAACCAGCATGTGCTGTGTGAGTGCAGAGAACACCCCAGAGCTGCCTCATAAAGCCTCATAAAGTGGTCTCTGGTGTTGAAACTCCCGGTGTAGAAGCACTGGCCTGTTCCCTGTGTTCAGTCCTCTTGACAATTTTCAAGTGAAGTGTAGTTTTTAAGTGTAGTTTTGCAGGGAGCAGTGCAGAGAGCACAGTCGGACAGCTTTCTAGGAAAATAATCTTTGGCTGAGGAAAGAAAAATAAATTGGCCAAAGGATGTTCACTTCAAGTTGCCAGTGGAAGTGTGGTGAGACGCTTTAACTCTATCGCAGCTCAGTTAGACCCAGTTGAGGGGTGGGGAGGGTTTCGTTGCTGGACCAAAGCAGTGATCTGGAGAGTTTGGGGGGGATCTTTATACTGGGTGGAAGGAAGGTGACTGCTTCCCCAACTACTAACGACCTAGCAAATGAAGATTTGCTCTCTCAAGGGAGAGAATGAGCATAGTTTGGCACTGGGACTTTGTATGATTAGCATTTGAGGATGAGTCACTGCCTCAGATCTTGACCCACTGAGTATGGAAATCTTTCTCCTTTTTCCCTTTTGCAATGTTGTGTTCATGTTGGGCAGCTTTCTGTAACATGTTTAATAGGAACACTGGATTGGCCATCATTTCAGAGTTTATAATTTTATCACACTGGTTTTTTTAAACTCTTTGCTAATTACCTTGAGCTTTTTAATTTCTCCTCATGCAGAAACTGTCCCTCTGGCTTTCAAGTAACTTCAGTTTCTCTTTTGGGGATATTTTTCTATTTCTTTATATGCTATTTATCTATGTACAACAATGAAGCCTCATGGGTTCAAAAATCTAAATGTCTCTTACATTTTCTCGTACATGCCCAAAACAGGGGACTGAACTGAGATACAAGTTTATACAAGTGTGGACTCAGGATCAGACTTCTTTTGAAAGGGGTGAACTGATGGTACAGTCTCTTACAGTTTTGAAGATTTTAGGTCATTATGAGATAATAATTTTTCTGCTTCAGCCTATATTAATTATTTGCCTTTTCTCGAGGAGATGATCTAGAGCTAGTCCTAGAGGGACTGAGACCACCTTTTCTTCTAGGAAAATAACATAAAATAAAATAACAAGGTGAAGCACTTTATCTTCTCCCATGAAATAGAAATTATTTACATAGCAGGAGGGGACTGTGTACAAAGGCTTTTCACTAGCCTGCTAATGAAGGAATGGAGGAAATTAAAAGATGCTGCTTATGCTCCCCTCCCCCTTATTTCTTACTCAGTGTTTATTTTCTTTCTCTTTCTCTCTCTTTTTATATGTTTGCTAAAAATTTCATATGTCCAGAGAGTGGTCAAGAGTGAATAGATAATGGAAAGCAGAGCACGCTGTATATCACAGTAATGCTTACCTGCCAAACCCACAACTTTTTTAACTGAATTTGAAACAACCCCTGAAACTTTACCAATCAAATGCTGCAGATGATTCCCGAGAACCAGAAAATGAAGCTGAGGAGAAATGAAAGCGGAGTAGCAATGCTCTCAGTGTCCAAGGCGGGGGCCATGCCTGGTTTATAGAGGGCATTAATAGTAAAAACCTAATCCAGTCTTCACATTTCTTTCAAACACCTAACATGCTATTTTGCGAGGCAATTTAGTACGCAAAAATATGCTGGGTGGAAATCAGGAGCTCGGTGCTATTTGTGCAAATACAGTACACATTTAGATTATTGTGGGACTGCAGCCAGGTCACTTGGGAGCAAGCACGCAAACCTCATGTTCAGCCTCCTGGCAGAGAGTACTCGTGCCAGAAACATGATTAATCCCAGCAAAGGAGGGTGTTTATGGGGTGTCACAGTCCTGGCGGACCTGCCCCTTATGGATGCACACCAGGCAGCTGTGTTTGGACCCACGCACTGGATCCATGTGCTCTTCTGTTCCCCTGGGCCTGGGCAGGCTCCAAACGCCGACTGTGGCCCCAGCCTCTCAGGCACACTCCCCAGGCGCACTTTTATGCTTGTACCTCCTGTTGCCCCCTCTTTAAGCCCTCTTTTTGGGACCATTGATGTACCACAGAGATTATAAAGGGATTTTTGTACACTGGCCACATGCAGCTAGTTGACTTAACGGCAAAGATACAAAGCAGAAGAAATGTCTGTACAGTTTTCTTCCCCTTGGGCCCTGGAGCATTTCCTGGGTTTTGGACGGTGCAAGAGCAGTCCTGAGTCCCCTCTCTTGTACCCTAGTGCTCCAGATTAGCCTTCTCTTCCCAAGTTATAGACTTATCTCTAACTCTTCCGAGAAACTCCCTTCATTTTTCAGACCTGAAGTCAAAGTGTTCCCTGGCTTGAAGACTGTTCATTCTTAGCATGCTTCTTCCTAACACTTCTCTGTTTTGTCCTTTACTGGCAATTTGCTTTGACTTTGTTCTGGGACCTTTTATGAAGAGACGTAAAGTAAATCTGCTCTGCTTTAAGCGCCATCCATATTACTTTCCCTAAGGTGGTTCCACTTGAATGGAAGATCATTTGCATTAAGGGTTCATATTGATCTCTGTGGCACTTCTTCAGCTTTAATCTAGGAGGTACCTCACCCAGTCCATATTAGCAAAAACATGGTTCAATGATGCAGCAATTTCATAAAATTTACTAGATTTTGTCCTTTTCACTTAGAGAAATTTCACAAACTGCCAGAGTCAGGGCATGAATTACTGTCCTAGACCATGACCTAGCCTTTTCACTTTGCAGGTTTGCAAAATTAAAACTATGAATTCAGTGTTAGAAATCATTATTAGCTCATAGTACAGAAAATATTTGTGATGTGGGCCAACTTATCCTTTGACAAGTTTATTTCTGACTTTGCCCCTTATTTCATACCTCAGAGAACATATTCTTTATTTCATAGCCACTCAAGATTTATGAGTGGGTTTGTGTTTAAAAAACTGTGATGGGCTGGATAGGTGATTTTACCACATTCTGTTCCTGCCTTTCTGCCTGCAATTCATTAAAACTGTCCTACACTAAAACACTCCACTGGGAGTATTCAAAATGTGCATCTAATTCCAGGATCCACAGCCTACTTGGGTATCACTTAAACACTAAGATATGCTAGGATTTGTGCATACTTGTAATATAACAGTGAGATATTCTTTATCTGGAGTTCCAGTGGTGCAGTAGGTTCTATTGCTGATATCTCCATTATTGCTGAGGCAAGCCTATTTGGTGTGGAGAAGACAGCAGAGTTACAAATCAAGCATGTAAGTGAGCAGGCAAAACATATAAAGGAAACAGTGTTTAAATTCACTTGTCATGTTCCTATCATTAGAAAACTTAAGAAGTCAAATTGTCTCTTCTTACAGAGCTGTTATCTTTTTATTCCAGGCAGCGAGCAATGTCAGCTCCCATGCAGAATAATGTGATGAAACTCATACTGCACCTGGAAACTATCCATAGTCTTTGCCTTTGTGGAATCCCTTTTCTTGACCTTGTGGCCTCAAATATGAAAAGCTGCCACACACACTCTCTCTGGCTATAGATACTCCTGAGATCCTATTTCAAATGTGTTGGGGTTTTGTGGGGTATGTAATACCTGTGCTGAATTGTTCTCCCCCATGTGCCTCTCCTTCACTTTAACCTTCTGAGTCCCAGCCAACGTTTCACTCCTCTCCACACATGGATCTCATCAACACAGAGGGGAAAATGGTAGGAGAATGCCTGTTCAGTGAAGGGCTTTACCAGAAAAAAAGAGAGATCTGAACACTTGGCTTCCTCTGATGACGTGGGCGGGAATTCTGTCCAGCGATAGGGCAAATCCTGCTAGATCCTGTACATGCTGCCCCACAGTTTTCTGAATTCAAGAGCTCTCTGCCTAGTTACAGATCTGATGTGGTATATTTGTGACTTAAGATGCTTGCTTCTTGTGTTATTGTACTGTGATCACTATTTGGTTTTTCTGTTCTACTGCTAAGGAGATTTTATTTTGTCAGGTTTGGGATGAAACTCTTGCCAAATCTGCAGAGGCTTGGGCTGCTACATGCATTTGGGACCATGGACCTTCCTACTTACTTAGATTCTTGGGCCAGAACCTGTCTGTAAGAACTGGCAGGTAGGCAGATACTCTACAAAGCAATTATTTTGTTAGCCTTCGAACAGCCTTTGAGATCCAGATCTTAGACTGATGCAAGTGTCATCCAGTATTCTGGCAATAATTTATATCTATCTATGTTCATTTGGCTTAAGAGTATTATTGCTTAATACTGTGCCCCTAGTGATGCGTGGAGAAATGTGTATTTAGGTGTCTTGCATCAGAGGGATTAGCAGCAGAAAGTTCCAAAATATCTAAATCTAAAATGACAAGTTTTTCTTTCTGTATTTTAAACAAACGCAGGTATCGATCTATTCTCCAGCTGGTAAAGCCATGGTACGATGAGGTGAAGGATTATGCTTTCCCTTATCCTCAGGATTGCAACCCCAGGTGCCCCATGCGATGTTATGGACCCATGTGCACCCATTACACACAGGTTATATAAATTAACTTCTTCTATTCAAAATCTACTGTCCAAAGCGGGACTTTTCTGTGATGTATTTATAGCTCTCTCTCAAATAAATGTATGTATATATATTTCTTTTCAATTTGGACTTCACCAATAATAAATATTTATTCAGATGGTTTGGGCCACTTCCAATCGTATAGGCTGCGCAATCCACACATGCCACAATATGAACGTCTGGGGATCCGTTTGGCGACGAGCTGTTTACTTGGTATGCAACTATGCCCCAAAGTGAGTTGCTTTCTTTTAATATTTTTATTTTTATACTTCATGCATGTTTTGGTACTCTCATAGGACCACTTACTCCTTTTCTGCAGCTTGACCTCTATTTGTGCTGCTTCTGTGGGCTGCTCCTTCATTCTAACTTTACATCTGAACATAGAGAAAATGAATGACTTTGGTATACAAGGAAGAAAAGGAAATAACTTGACGTGTATGGAACGAAACCAAAAACTTGTTTTCTGTTATTGTTATTATTATAATTCTTTTTGTCTTCCTCCTTTGTGCTGATTCCACTTTACTTTGAATTCCTTATTTCTTTACTCTGTTATATATGCTCACGGTGAGCTAGACTTCCTCAGGTAAGCAATCCCACTGTAGATCAGGCCCTTGATGTGCTGTGAACACATGTTGTTGCCCACAAGATACCTTTGCTTATGACCATGCTGCATAAGGCCATCCATAGCATAGGTTTCCTACAAAGTCCATCTACCTAAGCTCAGTGTCTACAAATCTCATCTTGCTTTCCATATTACGGTCCTTCAAAGTATAGCTCTTAGACACCCATAGGTGGCCCTATATCAGGTGGCTGTGCAGAGATCTGTGTTAGGTTGAAATGAAGAAATGAATTTTCTCCCAGCATTTCCTAGACATCATCCCAAGCTTACATCTGGGTGCAGAACGAATCAATGAAGTGTGGCTCTGGGAGAGGTTCGATTTGAGGTCTGGTTTGGACCAATGCTTCAAAAGCAGCATGGACGGTGTAAATGGCTGGTTTCTCTGACTGTATATTAGGCAAAGCTATAGTTCTGTACAGGAATCTAAATATAATTAATTGAGCATATTTTCCATAAACTCTGAGTGGCACAGGTCAATTTGTGGTAAAGAATATGCAAGAATATGTAATTATTCTAGCTGTTACACGAAGAAAAGAATTTTTAAAGATTTTGCAACTTAAAAAAAGATAGGATTTAGTAAGAAAACTGACTTTGGAAAAAAACACCTTTGGAAATCAAGGAGATTTCTCTGTCCTTTTTTCTTTAGTATCTTCTAGAAAAGGGTGGTAAGAAATGAACGTGAGGGTCCAAAGATCAGGCAGCAAAAACTGTATCTGACTTGTAGCTCCATAACATGGAAAAGTGAAAACAAAGTTTGTAAGAGTAACCCAAGTATTATTTTTTATATATCTTCATTTTAAAAAAATATTAAAAATTCCAAACTTCCTAGAATACATCTCTCATGTTCCTATACAGGAAAAGAATGGGTTTATACATTAGGCATTATTGAAAATTGATGCATTGTTTGTGTACCAGTTAACAATGAATTAATGACATTTTATATTTTCTCAGTCTAAAAATCCCACTGTTTCTCAAACAGCAAACCAAAGCCTGGAGTTACAAGCTGCTTCTCTGGATGAAAGTTTGACTAGAACTGTGATTTGTAGGTAGTGGAATTGGGATTTTCACATCTACTTCTTGCACAGTCACAAAAATGATATTGAGTGATGTTACCTGGCTTAAGTTTATATTCCTAAGAATTAATTAAGTTGAGTTAAGGACACTGGGCTTACAGTCCTTGGGCACACATGCAGAAGTCTCTTTGCCAGTCAATAAAGGCTGTGTCCTTCTGAGTAATGACCACATCAGAAACTCCTCTAAAGAAGAAAGAGTTGAATATTACAGCCTCAACCCGAGTTATTAAGACTGGAATTTGGCAAAGATTTAGGATTTAGAACTCCAATAATTTTCACTGATGGCATGTCGTAATGCTGAAAAATATCTGTGCTTCTGAAATCAGGAAAAAAAGTTAAGGTGGATAATTACAAGGTTTAGAAAGGCTCTGCCCCTGGTTATCTAACAACAGACTCGTACAAATCAGCCATGCGTTGCATAGAAAATGAAGCAGAAATCAGCTTTCTGCAAACTCTTTCTGGATTTCCATATCTGTTATCAAACTAAATATATTTCCTGAGCACTCAGTCTGCTGTACCCATTTGGAAGAGAAGTAGGAATGAGCAAATTATTTGAGAGATTCCTGCTTTCTTCCAAGGCACAACCCAGACCAGGGCTTTTGATCCAATGTTATTGGCTGGGAGGTGGGAGATGAGAAAATGTTTCATAAATAATTGCATTACTCACTGCTATACCATGTCACATGCAAACTGGAGAAAAGTTCTCTGCTCAGTGAGACATAACTTTTAGATAAAAATCTAATTTTAACTTTCTTTCTGCCTACATCATGAGTATTACATGTATCTCTAAAAGACTGGGATTTATATAAGCACCTGAAAGTCTGGATGCATTTTTCAGATGTTCCTAGATCTTTCAGAGTTATCTATTTTCACATGATCACTCTTCAGACTTGTGCCCCTTTTCCCCTGGGCTCTATTACACAGCTTTATTCACCAGATGGGAGCCCTCCTTCTCCTCCCATTAACGCCTGAGACCCCTACAAATGCCCAAATACAGTTCTTTTTAATACATTACTGGTGCAAATAGTTTTCATCTTCCCTTTTCTCTAACCACGAATTCAACCTCAGAGCTTCACAATGCGGACCTAGGGTAGTGCAACCTAAGAATAAGATTTCACTCTGTCTGTTTTTCCACCTTCCAAAACCAAGCTTTTAAGATTACTGCCAGACAAAAAAGTGCTCAAGGAAAAACCTTGCACCAATGCTTATGTTGCTAATTTCTCATAAATATAGCCCTGCAGTAAAAAATACTGTCCCAGGCTCGGAGAATCAAAAATCACTTGGCTGTAGCAAAAGCAAGAAGACTGGGACTTCACCACAGAGACTAAAGGATATGGAACAGACCACTGGCCTAAAGGATATGGAACAGACCACTGGCCTAGGGTGACACGGTCATTTTCCTGCTGGTTTTTGGGAATCGGTAGATCAGTGTTTGTCATTAACCTACAGAAATACCTTAATGTATGTTTTCAGTAACAGGGCATTTATAGGATATCACTGAAGACATTAACTTTAATCACTCAAAACAAGTATGGTTAATGAATTTTTTTTTCTTCCACTCTGCACTTACTAAGCATTCGTTTTCCTTTTTTATTTTCAGGGGGAATTGGATTGGAGAAGCACCATATAAAGTAGGAGTCCCATGTTCGGCTTGTCCTCCGAGCTATGGAGGTTCTTGTACCGACAATCTGTGTTTCCCAGGAGTAACATCAAACTACTTATACTGGTTTAAATAAGTTAAGGTTTACATTATTCTGAAAAAAACCCCATGAATGAGTAACAAGAAGCTTGTATATTGAATTTTGCACATATTATATATAGAGAGATATTGTAATAATACTCTGACGTTTTCTTTTTGTATGCTTTTGTATAATTAGCTTTCAAAGTATAGTATAATTTGGTTTTAACACTTTGGGATTTAAGACTCACATTAACCCTTTTAGATTAACATTTTGTTAAAGGAGAGCAAACTAATTTTCACCTTAGCAGGTATAGCTTCCTGAAGATTAGGTTCTATTAAAAGCACATTAAAAGATAGAATATGACTTCCTTTTAAAAGTAATAGCTCCAGAGAGACAAAGGTCATTGTTTAATACTGTGCTTTAAAAATGGTGTGATGTGCAAAGCACCAAATAGTCCTCACACTCCGAATGGTTCCTCCCGTTTACACCTGTGCTTTCACCTGCAATGTCAATGGGGCCATGAGCAGAGGAAAACATATGTGCAAGAGAAACTGCAGGATATTACCTACCTCATGCACAACATCAATTCATTTATGGCGTTTCAAGAGTTCAGCACACGGCTGCTGCTATCATCAACGATGCCTGTGTGCAGACAGGAAAATTAGAGAGAATGAGGAACCACACTGGCCAAGATGCAGTGGCTGTTAACTCACATGCCTAAAGTCTTACCTAGATAGAAGGCCACATCTCTTTAGGTATATTGGTATAATAACACAGCCTGCCTCTACCTTCCTGTGTTTCTGAACACAGTCATGGTATAATGGTGCTTTGCAGCAGTATATTTATTCTTGTACGGGAAGGCAAAGAAATATATTGCTACAAAGCAACATACATCAATACATGACATCCATACTGTCTTTTACACTGTAAGTTTGCCAGTATATGTGCTATCCCCCTGACTGAAACTCAGTCAGGTGAAACTTTCAAGAACAGATCAGACCTAAAAGTAGGTAAGAGGATTTCCAAATAAAAGACATCAGGCAACTTTAAAACTTCATACAGATCTGTTACAAAAATTCCAAATTTCTAAAGCAATTGGCAGTGTCCTTTAAAATATATTGTGCTGTTTCCTGAAAATATCTGTATGAATTAATAAAAACCAAATCTATTTATTCATACCTTTCCTGCCAAAAACGGAATGCCTTATGGGTGCTTACTAGAAAATTTATAAAGAGGACCTACACTTTAGGCTAGAATATTATACAGGTAGTTTTCTTGAAAAACAGAATATAAAAAGGAGGAAATTGAATGTCTGCCACAACTACTATGTCATTGAAATAGCCTCGAGTTTTGGCTTTGTATTACAGGGCAGAATGTACTCCACTTCAAATATACGTGTTTAGTCTGCTTGCAGTGCTACATTTAGACCTCTGAAATTTATGAACTTTGAAAAGCAATACTAAGTAGAGCAAGCAGAACAACAGAGGATAATTTCACTAGTGCTACATATGTATGTGTCTTTAAGTCACTAATTCAGTCCTTTCCAGGGTGTTTCAGACAGTCTGTCACCAGAATATGAAGTATCATATTGGTGACATAAAAAGAAAGATCAGAGTGTGAATTCTTCATGCTAGTTATTCTTTTTCTCCAGCAAGATATCTGGGGGTGGCAGGGAACGGGCGCTACAGCACATGAAATGTAGCAGCTCCTCTCCATCTATCCATAATCTGATCCCTCAGAGAGCGTCAGCAACTGATCTGTGGCTCTTCAGACATTTCTGATAAGTGGTATTTCTGTATCTGACAGGACAATAACTAGACAAGTATATTGTCTTAAAATGTGTGTTTTAAAAGAACAACACTTGTAATATTCTACTAACTTTTATTCTAACTATTACAATATAAATGGTTTTCCTTTTGGTTTCAAAGGGGCTTGGACTTGGACAGAGCTCAGTCAGTCAAGCACTTTGGCTGAGTAAAATCCAGTCCTGTTTTGAGAGTGAAACACAACCTCTTTGCATCATCTTTGTCACGTTAAAAGAATTCAGTGAGACAAAACTACTAGGTGGGTCACTAGCCCTCAGCCAGCCCAGTTTTGACAAAGATGCATGGGACAAATACATTTTTGTTCCTCATAAGAAATCTTCTCTGGAGGTAAAGACAGCACAGGTAAAACAGTGCATCTAGCCATTTTCAGTATTTTTATTTTCTTTTTTAATACAAGATAGGAAGCAGAGCCTAAGCAAAAGTTCAGGTTAAGCCGTGGAGCCTACAGCAGTAGGTCTAACAATAGACGACTATGCACTTTGGAACTTGCAACTTATATGTTGTATGGTACACTTTCCAAACAGGACTAGACATTGTAAATTAATTTATAATTCTGTAATTCAGCTGAAATCATTATAACGGGTATATATGTTATCGTATCTGTTACTTTTTAAGTTGCTACAAATACCTTGATTTTGTGGAATATTTTGTTTTCTGTGGATATAGAAAACTTTGCTTTTAACAAACAGGTATGCAGGTTTTTTCACAACATCCCATAATGGTGCTAGGGATTAACTTTTGTAATCACACTGTAATTTACAGCAGCAAAAAATGATCTGGGTATAAGCTATTTCAAACGAGCAGCTCCTGATAAAACCAGCTACAAGCACTCAAGCATTAGCTGAATATTTTTCATTGCACAGAGAGGATTACATACAGTTCATCAGATATTTGATTACCACATGAAATTTGCCCTTCCACTTTATTTAATAAGTAGTTTAGTGAAGGCCTTTCCATATTACCTATTTGAATCTCCCCAGTTTCTATCATCTTTTTTCTCTTGGGCGAGGTAATAAAAATGCCAGTAAAGCTCTACTTTGATTGCCAGTGTCAGTGCTGCCTGATTGATTACCTGACACCAAGTGCTGCTAGAACAAAAGTACTGAAATGTGTGGAAGACTTCAGATGTCTTTGGCAGTGTATCTGCTCTGATACATGCTGAGGAAAATTCTTGATGAGTTCAAGGCTATGCTGAGGCAAACTACCCCCAGCTGCTATTCTGATAGCCCTGAAGATTTGTACTACTTCCTTCCAAGCAGAGTGCTGTGCCTTTAAAGACAGAGAAGTTAGCTCAGAATTCTGTGCTAAATATAAAATTATGAAAGTATACACAAACTAAAGTAAGGCTAAAAATATTTTTGATCAGCATACTGTGAGAGTCATAAGAGTAAAAATGAAGTAATTGATGTCACTAATTATTGAGTGCAGCTGTTTATGATATCTGCTTGTGATTTTTTGCCTCATTTAAATGTCTAAGGTGATGGGTAGCAATTGATAACCTTTTGGTGCTAACCTATATGTTCTGGTGCTGAAGTTATACATTATTTTTTGTGGAAGATTAGGTTTACTTCCAATATTACCATATACACTCCAGTGTTCTGAGATTTTTTTCAGCTAAGCATATAATTTACCACTAGGCTAGATTTGCTTTCAAGTTCCTTTTTACGGTTGTTTCAGGCTCTAATGAGAGTTTTATGTGCATCAGAGAGGAAAATGTATTCCAGTTCAAAACCAAAACAAACAGCACCCTCCCCTCATCGCAACAGTGAAGTGCCTGTGGAACAAATTATGAGGAGAGTAAGACCTCAGATTCAGATTGATGCTGAGCAGGTTTAAGTGATTGCAAATCCTCTCTCTGGGGTAATAAATGACTTCAGAATATCTGGGCTTGACCTTGCACACTTATCCTTGGGAAGCTGTGTGTTTCTTTTCTCTGAGATCAGTTTGTTCCCCTCTGAATTTGAGATGAGTTGGATAAGGCCTCAGTGGAAACCGTGGCAGGTTTAACATAACTTTTGCAGCAGTGAGAAAGTTGGATTCCATGAGAGCTTTATGGACAGCAAAATTAGGCTTCACGTGCCATCCCCTCTTAACACTGGGAAATACCACAGGGCTTTGAAAGAGGAAACCTCGCAGAGCAAAAGTGCTCTATACCACAGCTGGGATCTAACAGAAAGAAATATATCTGTGTCTATATCCATATCTATGTCTATAGATGAGTGGATATATAGGTAGCTAGATCTATCTGTTTACACATGATCTTCGAGGATCAGGTTGCAAGCATGGATGCCCTCTTGTGGTTGAGAATGCCAATATGTTGGTCTGATTTCATCGGAATCCAAAAGGGTTTAGGATTTTTTAAAAACAAACACATGCAAATTTAGTTTGTTTCCTTTAAAATTTTTGGCCTTGATTTTAAAGACACATGACTTTGTCTGTTTTCTTTGAGAAATGACGTCCATTACATAACTCCTCCATTTCTTACTTTTACGTGATTTGTAAGTATAGAACTCAGTCACAGTTGTATTGGCTGTTGGTTACCTATCATACCAAGTTTTATGAGTATGAGGTAAAACAGACATTCAGATGTCAGAAAAATTTTTAGAGGTGTTAAATCAGATATAGTTCTTAAAAAGCAGGGGGTGGGAAGCCTCACTACTCAGATATTAAATTCTAAAGATCCCTAATAAAATAAGAGTTTTAAAGGCCCAAATTACTGTTGAAATTTGCCCACTATTGCTAAGTTTTCAAAATGAAACTGTTGCTTTCCTTTTCTAGAATGAAATGATCTCATAGAATCCAAGCACACAGCATTTCTATGGTGCTTTTTAAAACTGTGCAAAATAGAAAATGTGTATGCTCTGGTTGTCAGATCATAATTGGTCTGATGGTCTCGAAGTGCACAAACCTTCCTGTTTGGATTCATAAGGATAACATTAAGCTTCTGTCAATAATAACCACAGCCTTCTCAAACTGCTTTCTTTCAATAAAAAATAAATTGGAAATCAAGAAAGAAAATAGCAATGACCCATCTGGTTAATTCAACAGATGGGCAACAACCCATCTGGTTAATTCAAGAAAAGAAAAAAAAAAATTACTATTGGTAATTTCAAGACTTTATTGTGGCTTAACCTTCATTTACTGACTTTCCCTCAGGATTTAGTTATTTTCTGTTAGAGAAGGATTTTTTGCTCATGTTACAAGGCAATGCATTTTTAAATTCACACAAGTCAGTGGGACAGACATAAACTTTTGATAGTTATCCCTACTCTGCTGTGCTCCCCTGAGTGTGAAGTGTGAGAAAAACAGACTGAAATGGTTGCAATTCAGTATTATCTCCTTGTCTTCTGCCAAAAAAACAAAATTCAGAGTGGAAAAAAGATTTTGGCACCTTATCATTTGGCAGTCAGGATGCAAATTCTTTAAAAATCCCTCATACTGACAATCCATAAATTATGCTTCGGGTTTTTTTGGCCGGCAGGAGAAGAGGGAATATCCCTCAGGTTATAAGTTTAGCTCACAAGAG